TCTTTTGGCAGGGGGTGGGTACTGGGGATTGAACTCAGGGGCACTCGACCACTAAGCCCCATCCCCAGCCTTATTTTGTATTTGAGATAGGATCTCATTGAGTTTCTTAGCACCTCCCCATTGCTGAGGCTGACTTAGAACTCATGATCTTCCTGTCTCAGCCTCCCAAGCTGCTGGGGATCACAAGCATGTGCCATAGTGCCCAGCACCTGTTCTCTTTAAAATGGCATTGTTGGCTATGTATTCTTTTTTTTTTCAGAAGAAGATATATTTAATTTTATTTTTCCATATTTTATTGTTACATTATAGTTTCACATAATGGTAGGATTCATTGTTACAGATTCATACATGCACACAATATAACAATATAACTTGGCCAATATCATTCCCCAAGATTTCCCCTTTTCCTCACTTTCTCCCTTCCACAGGCCCCTTTCCTCTACTCTTCTGATCTTCCTTCAATTTTCATGAGGTTCTCCTCAACCATTCTTTTCCTCTTTCCTCTATAGTTTCTACATGAGAGAAAAAAGCACACAACCCTTGACTTTCTGAGTTTGGCTTATTTTAGTTAACATAATATTCTCAAGTTCCATCCATTTTCCTGAAAATGACATGATTTAAAACTCCTTTGTGTATGTACGCCACAGATTCCTTTCACAGATTCACAGATCCATTCATCCATGTGGGACACCTAGGCTGGGTCAATAGTTTGACTATTGTGAATTGTGCTGCTATAGTATATTTCTTAGGATAAATGCCAAGGAGTGGTATAGCTGGATCATAAGGTGTTCCCATGCCTAGTCTTTAGAGGAACCTCCATACTGATTTTCATAAAGGTTGTACTAATTTACAACCCTACCAGCAGGATAAAAGTATTTCTTTTAAAAAATAAATGTTGGCAAGGATGTGAGGGAAAAATATATAATCATCCATTGTTGGTGGAACCAACCTAGGTGTACTTCAACAAATGGGTAAAGAAAATGTGGTATATATACACAATGTAATTTTACTCAGCCATAAAGAAGAATTATGGCATTGTAGAGGTCTTTCACCTCCTTGGCTAGACTTATTCCTAAGGTCATTGGGTTTTGAGATTCTTTGGTTTATTTTTTGTTTGTTTGTTTGTTTGGGGTTTTTTTTATAGCTATTTTGGATAAGATTTCTCAGCAGATTCATTGTTGATATAGAAGAAAATTATTGACTTTTGTATGTTGATTTTTTAACCTGTTACTTAGTTGAATTTATTAATTCTAGCAGTCTTCTGGTAAATATTTATGGATCTTATACGTATGGGTTCATGTCTGCAAACATATAAACATATCTGATAATTTGACTTCTTCCTCTCTTATTTTTATACTTTTTTTTTCCTTCTCTTGCCTAATTGCTCTGACTATAATTCCTAGAACTACATTGGACTAGAGTGGTAAAAGCAGTCACCCTTGTCCCAAATCTTAAAGGAAATACTTTCAATTTTCCTCCATTCACAAAGATGTTGGTTTCAGACTTATCATAAATAGCCTTTATGATGTCAACATAAGATCATTCTATCCTAGGCTAAAAAAAAGTTAAAGGGACATGAATAGGAAAAGAAGAGTTCAAACTATCCCTATTTGCCAATGACATGACTCATGATTCTCTATTTAGGAAAAAAAAAAAAACTGTACCAAAAACTTTTAGAACTCATAAACAAATTCAACAAAGTAGCAGGATATAAAATCAACACCCATAAATCAATTGTGTTCCTATAGACCAATGATAAATTAGCTAAAAAATAAATTAGGAAAGCTATCCCATTCATAATAGCCTCAAAAAAAAAAAAAAAGAAGAAGAAGAAGAAGAAGAAGAAGAAGAAGAAGAAGAAGAAGAAGAAGAAGAACTTAGGAATCAATCTAACAGTAGAGGTGAAAGACCTATACAATAAAAACTACAGAACACTCCAGAAAGAAATTGAAGAAGACCTTAGAAAATGCAAAATCCCCCCTGTTCATGGATAGGCAAATTAATATTATCAAAATGGTCATGCTCTCAAAAGCACTAAACAGATTTAATGTAATTCCCATTAAAATTCCAATGATGTTCTTCATAGAAATGGAAAAAGCAGTTATGAAATTTATTTGGAAAAACAAGAAGCCCAGAATAGCCAAAGCAATCTTTAGTGAGAAAAGTGATGCAGGAGGCATCACAACACCAGATTTTACATTATACTGCAGAGC